CCGGGCGTGAGTGGTTCGGCTCCTCGGTGTAGGCTGCGCGCTAATGATCGCCAGATGGTTCAAAATGCTAGTGGAATTGAGCCTATCATCTCATGGGCAGTATGTGTGATCGGTGTCATTGTCACAACGTTATTTAAATGATTACTTTCGCCCGCAATCCGAATGGCGAGAACTCTGCGAGAGAGGTCGGATGATGAGTTAGTGGGCGTTAACGACGTGCGAAGTGCTCAGCGTTGGAGGCACAGCAATGCGTAAAGAGGTTATTATCCCGGCGCCCCGAGAGAGCGGGTTCGGGGCGGCGGGTTGTATCCAAGCGTCACATGTCCGGGTCTGTGGTGACTCCTGCTTGCGGGAAAGACTCGCCAGGCAGGTCTTGTTCCACTGTTTACCACTTGATAAGGCACATGCGCGTGCCAGAGGGATATCGTTGTCCGCGCTGATTTCGGCGTCCGGCGGATACAGATTGCTCAATCAGGGGGGAGTTGCATTTGCTTGCATCGGGAGAAAAAAGTTCAGTGATGGAGAGCGGCTGACTTGCCTTGTTTGTCGAGGTCAGTTTAATTTACATACACAATGTGTACAGTATTTGGCGAAACTGGTTGAGGCATGACAGGGAGGGAAGAGACTTAATGTCAAAGTCCACGGCGCTGCCAACGTCATTTCCATTTATGTAAAATGGAATTTTCAATCGAGATGCCGGTTAAGTGCAATGCTGTTGAGTAAACCACGGGTTAGCGCGCTCTTACCTTCCAAAGAGCTCACTTCAAGAGACACGTGGCGGCCGCGACGTCGGCGGAGAACAGGTACGCGTGCTGGGAGAGGAAGTGACGGCGCGACGTCGTCCTCCACGTGGGCGCCGGCGGCGGCACCCGCAGATGTCCGCCTCGCCGGCTATGCTGCATCGACGTCTTACGTGACGGGGAACCTTGCATTGGGCGAGGTAATGGTCAGGGGCAAGAAACAATACAAGGAGCAGGGTCGTTAATGTTTTGTCGCAATTTTTATGCGTGTTAACGTTGCCTTGTGAGTGTATGTGGGCGTTGTGTGCGCGTAGGTTTGTTGCCGAGGTGCCTGAGCCGTCAAGCTAAGATCCACAATTTTCAAATTTTGCTTCCCACACGTTTGCGTGGTGCATCGGGCGTGTCAGGAGGTAGTCGTACTTGGAATAGGTAAAGTAAACACTACTAATCCTCCCGGATCAGCTTCAGAAATCTTACTCATTCGACCAGAACGAAAAAATGGGAAATTTGATGCTCTGTAGGAATACGAAGGTGTGTGGGAGGTGGCCGCTTAGTACCGAGTGGAGAAAAGTGGCGGCATCTCGCAGCCATGGCACGATCCACTCTGGTCTCTCCATCACCAGCCACTCAGTGTCGCGCGAACCTGCGGTGCGAGTGGACTGCGCTGGGCTTATCTCACAGACGCCCGCCGCCGACACACACAAACCATGCGCTTATTTTATACGTGATTTTGAAAATTTCTTTGAAGTGTTATGTCTGTGAGTGTATTGTACCTTCGTTATATATGAAAATTAAATGATTACTTGTTGGTATTACACAAAATAAGAGATGGTTTAAAACAAATATGTTACATGAAGATAGGATATGAGAAGTGAGGGAAAAAGACGTCTGTTTTGTGATTGCAGTTGGAGATAATTGTGATTTATATTAATGTATTTTGGTACGTATTGGCCGTGGCACTTCGTTATCTCGTGTTACCAAAGCAAAGGCAACACGCTCCCGGTACATTCCTGTTGTTTATCGTAATCGTGTACCGGATCCCAAAACTATAAAAGTGGCTGCGACGGGGCGATAGGCCGGCCGGTTAACGAGGAACGAGAACGTAGCCTGAATGCGACGATAATGGTCGATGGGCCTGTGAGAGGGAGGTGAGAAGGCGAGTTGGGCAGAGCGCGAGGACGACCTCCATTGTTTCTTCTCCACAAACAAAATGATGAACGAGCGCGACTTTGACAAAAACTGGCGCGGAATGGCTTTGCTCGCGAAGATGTAGTGTTTGCAGTCGCTCTCGCTGGTGATTGACTTCTTCGGAGGTGTGACGGTGCCAAGTTGCAGCACACGTGGGCGTCCGGCTACGGAACCGCCCACGCTGTCCTGGCACCCTGGCGCAGGTGTTGCAACTGGCCCCACGCCTTGGCACCTGAGCTGTGCGTGAGTGCAAGAACACGTCGGAACTTGAATGGGTGCAGCTAATACTGCACTTAATGACTGAAATATTTATTCCTCCATGGACAGTCCATAGGAAGTACCAGCACCTAAGAGTGTAAATTGGGACACAGGAAGCAGGAGGAAAGAGAGACATGCACATCCCCCTCGAGAACTCCTTCCCGAAAATATCTCCAGTAGGGGCGCGCCAGGTCAAGCGAGGTCCCCTTCCCGACACGTGCCCATTTCCGTGCCAGCCCTTCCTTGCCCACCACATGTGTTCACTGACGTATCCCGGGGCCATATGCTCAGTCAGTTGTTTCTACAACGCGTGT